TTGAACACACTAAACCGCTATTCACTGAGCAGAAAATTATGAACCTGGAGAATCTGCACATGTACCATACATTTATGGAGCTATTCAAAATTCTTAAATTTGATGTCCCCCAGTCGATTAAAAATCTTTTCAAGTTCTGTCCTAGAAATGAAAAACTTCGTCTGATTGTCCCATTACTGAGGTTAGATATCTCCCAACAGAACTTTTTGTATACCTCTACGAAAATATGGAATGATCTCATCCCCTATGTATTCGAAATATGTGATGCTAATGTAGATGGGATAATAATCCCGGGGTCTTCCAAAAATTCAGACTTATCAGCCTCGTCAGGTATTATTAAATCTAACCTTAAAAAGCACTTGCTATCCCTCCAAAATCGAGGTGACCCTAATATATGGTAACTAATCTATATTATATCTCAAATTCTACATCTGGTACGGCTCTGCACACATGATATCTCTCTCTGCCATGAAACATGGCTAACCTTTCAAACTATGATTTAAAACATAAACCTAAACTAAAACTCAACTGGGCTCTCCTATGTCACCAAACTAGACCAATAAGCAATTTTAGCTTAGATAATTATATTTTTCTATATTTGTATAATAAGTATTATATTGACGTAGTGGATGGTTGAGGGGGTTTCAAGCACAGGTCACTCTCAAATCCTAAAGATAAGCAGTGGCCTTCGGCACTTGAAACCTCTTCAAACCTCCCCTGATTTATTTATTATTGATATTGTTTGATTGTGCCGTAAAAATAAATATTTGTTTTATTAAATATTTGTTTTATTAAGACTCGTCGACGCGATGTTTGGAACAAGAAAACAACAATTTTAATATAAAACAATAATTTTATTTAGTATCAATTAAAGCAGACAAAAATATATTTCATATAATATATAACTAGCACGAACTTTAGATCAGATATCCTATGGGACTTGGAGTAGCAAGAGATTGACTACAGGGTATACCTTTAAGATATATCGAAAAGAATCCAGGGTGATACAGGATCGGAGAGTGGAGACCATAAAGTTTACGCACCCACCATTGCCTCCTGAATTCTTGGTTGGATAGAAATTTATGCAAACTTGGTCGTTTATACTCCAAGTCCCTTGCTTTGTTAAAAGAAATAATATTAGTTATGTTTGGAGTTATAGCTTAATCATACAATAATAACAATATCAATATAATGAATATCAGCATCATAATAAACTACCGAATAAATTATCAAATATGAATTAATTCGTTCCGATTACCTTACAAGACATATTTATAACGTACGAAATGTGGCGGTTTTCCAAAAATTTTGCCATATTTTCGGACCGCCAAAATTTCGGTCGTCGTAATAGAATCCGTTGCATTATCTTTTAGCTTATTTCAATGACTGTGCCTTCACTGCTTTATTTTGTTCCTAAAAAGTAATATCAAGTAAAATAAATAAATAAATTCTGGCATCTTGGGACAAATTATCACCACACCAATGACGAATTGAATGTCAAGCAATACAGTTTAAATTTGCATTAAAATACATGTATGTGCTAACATGAAAGTCTTACAGTCTTAATACAGACTAAGTTTGAACATGATTTTACCGAATTTCAGAAATTTCCTTACTGCTTACTGTCACAAAAAATGATGAAAAATACCCTTATTTTCTGTGACGTCCGAAATTTGACGGTTTTTGTTCAATTTCGCCATATTTTCGGACCGCCAAAATTTCGGTCGTCGCAAATTAGGCCGCCATAAATATGTCTTGTAAGGTGAAAAATTTATAAATTAAGATATATTGAGTATTTAAAAACATTACAACAAACGGTTAAAAACGCCCAAAATCGATTTGAGAGATTTTTGCAGTCTGTTGTATAAGTAACTTACAATTACAATATATTGAAAAGATTACGATATATCGAAAAGTGTGTGTCGCTTCGCTGCAATTAGATTATATCACTGCAATTTAAAATTGTTTGGAGTCCAAGTATCTTTTAAGTCAGCTGCTTGTGCTTTTGTAGCGCGATGCACTACTGGGCCGCGCGCGCATCCAATAATGTTTCTCGCAACCACAGAGCGGCGAGATGCGAAAGATTGACATCGTGAATCAACCTGTGCTTGTATTAATATGTAATAGTGCCATGCAACAAAAATTTTACGAGTATCATGATATGCATCAGTTAATTAACAATTTGGAGGACTTCGACGCGCCGCGCAAACTAGCATTCTTGCTTCGCAGAGCAACGATCTCGATGGGTTGACATCGTCAATCAAATTAACAATATACAATGATGATGCATGATATTGAAATACTATACTGTGTTTCCCTGAAGAGGTCTAATTCTAATTTGAACCATCGATCTAGGGTGTAGGGGAATAAAATAAAATTATTGGATGCCAGGAACTGGAATTAAATATACTGGAATTCTGTGTTTCCCTGAAGAGGTCTAATTCTAATTAGAACCACCTAGGGGAATAAAATAAAATTATTGGATGTTAGGAACTGCAGAAATTAAATATACTGGAATACTGTGTTTCCCTAAAAAGGTCTAATTCTAATTACAACCATTTAGGGGAATAAAATAAAATTATTGGATTCCAAGAACTGGAATTAAATATACTGGAATTAATTGACATCAAGAACTGAATACTGGGATTCCCTGGAGGGGTCTAATTCTAATTAGAACCATTTAGGGGATCAATAAAATAAAATTATTGGATGTCAGGAACTGGAATTAAATATACTGGAATACTGTGTTTCCCTGAAGAGGTTTGTCATACGTTGTATGACCCGCCGCGCACGAAGTGCGCGGCTCCCCCTGTATCGTCAGGGGGGTCGCAACGTGATACAAGAAAAGGTCTATTCTAATTAGAACCATCTAGGGGAATTAAATAAAATTATTGGATTCCAGGAACTGGAATTAAATATACTGGAATTAATTGACACCATACCAATCTGAATATTAATGAATCAAAGACAGAGTTTGTACACGTCTACATAGCTGGGAAAGATGAGGTCATGGATGATGGTAAACCCCTTAGAATGAATGAAGAATGGTGCAGTAGCAAGTTGTTGGGTTCTCTACTAGAAAGTAGGAAAGATGTCACCAGAAGAATCATGTTAGCCAATGTAGCATTCCAGAACTTCAAGAAGGTCTGGTGCCAGAGTAAGATCCCCCTACAGAAGAAGCTGAAGGTCTATGAGGCCCAAGTAGTATCTATCCTCATGTATAACTCTAGTTGCTGGGGAATGCCTAAATCGTACTGGGACAAACTAGATGCATGTCACCGTAACCACCTCAGAAAGATCATGAATGTCAGCTGGCCACGCAGTATGATGTCCAAAGATACCCTCTACAAACAGAGTAACTAAAGATGCTAGGACACATACTGAGGAGCGATGAAAGATCACCAGCTCAAGCTGCGCTGTGTTTTGCTGTCGGGATGTGTAGTGAAATTGGTAGACTCGGGGCTCACAGACGTAACCTCCTGCACCACCTGAAGGTTGACCTCTGGAAGCGCTTCATCTTGCTGGAGTCGTATGATGATATTCTCCATTTGAGAGAACTTGCTAGTGACCGTGGTTATTGGAGTAAATTGTTTAACTTTATACTTGAGTACAAGTCAATTTGATTATTGGGACATATAATTTACAAAGGATCACGTTTCGGTTCTAAATTATTTTAGGATTGTTGACATTTGTAAGATTGACATGTTTGATAATAATAATTGACATCAAGAACTGAATACTGGGATTCCATGCAGAGGTCTAATTCTAATAAGAACCTGTACTATTGCCGGTAGCGCTGCACATAAAATAATGTTTTTTGCAATTTAATCACGTTAGATCTACAAAATGCATTATTGAGCAACGCTGCAGAGCTGGAGACACACCTATAAATAATAGACCCACCCCAATTAAGTTGTTGTTTAAAGTTCAGGATAAAGTTACATCATACACATTCAGTGTTCAGGAAGAATATTGATTAAAAAGAGCGCCAAGGATTGGCGTGCCAGGTAATGTCTATTGTAAATTTGATTTCATTATACTTTAAGTCACATTACTTTAGAATTACATAATTATACATGTTCCTCTGATGAAAAACAAATTAAATACATAGCATCCTATTTAAGGATACAACAAAAATACAAAAGCATCCTTATGTTATCTTTTCGTGTACCATATAGGCTCAGCTTCTTTTAAAAAGAAATACTAGGTAAGAGATACAAATTACAAAAATACAATTAATTTTATTGAGTACACGATAGTCATAACCCGGCCTTGGAATGATGTATAAATAGTTAAATACAATTCCAATTATTTACTTCAATTTATGCTTTGACCTCATTCACAGACTTGGTAACAATAACAATCATATTATTATATATTATATAATAATGTAGCCTTGTTGAGATAACGTCTAGCAAACTGCTATAAACAAATTTAATCAAAACCACTGTAAAAACCTATCACTGCAGCTGTTGTTGGCTAGAGCTCCACTCAACCAAATACAATAAAAAGGTCCGGGTTCGAATGTCACATATTATGTCCTTTATTGTAACTTTATTGTTTATATATCAGGGAATGAGATCAGGGAATTAGATTGATACTCTTTTTTCTCAGGAAGTACTGTCTACTGTTAATTGTAAGCAAAGGCAGTGTGATTCAATGCACTTTTTATCATAACACCTTATTACACATAAATTTGGTGTGTTTCTAAGTATGTCATAAAGAACTTAGAGTATGGTCTGGCATTACTTCCTTAAATTGTTTGTTATACATTTGTGAATTGTAAGTATTACAAATAATAAAAAATTGTAACAGATTTCAATTATCTAATTTGGTGGTGATTTGGGTGTAAATCAACATTTATTCCATCACAATACGTGGATACAAGGCCCTTATGGTGTATGAGTCACTTCACAGGCTATTTGAGAGGCTATGCAACCAAAGTATAAATGGAAAATGTAACCTTAAATTTCAGTGCTTACTTATATAAAACGTTTAGAAATAGGATGAAGGTTGGAACTGTAACAGACGAACTAAACGAGTATTTCAAGAGGGACTGGGAGTTAGACACCAAGAAAGCAGAGACAATAACTCTTAAACAAGCCCGACTATGGATAGAGGTGAGAATATTTGTTGGAGTCATTGATAATTAAGCACTTGTATTTAAATTTTCTAACAAATAGTTTGACCGCTTAACAGTAAATAGATAATTCGTGATAGTTAGGTAACTCTCTAAATTTTTTACTATTATGGCTCCTCTTACCTCTATTATATGGGTTGAGCTAGATCAGTAGATCTATAGTATTTTAAGATGTCATGGACAGGAACATTCGCAATTAACAATAACACACCAATCGGATAGTGGGATGGGTCCTCGTTTCTCTCTGCTGAGTACATGTCAACCATCTTTATCGGCCAATCTCTTGTTATGAATAGAAGTGCCTTGATATTAGTAGGATTTAACCTTCACCCCTAGTTTACCAGGCTGTGTTCAGCAAGAAGCACGGCAGCGACTTGGACTTCAAGAAAGCGCTTACTGACGGCATTCTTCTATGCAGGTATGAAACTATTCAATTTGCCAATTTAAGTAAATATATCAATCAGCTCAACCAGTGGCGTAACGTTTCATGTTGGCGCCCCCCCCCCCCCCTCCCCTCCCCGCTGAAAAAGTAGAAACGTAAAATTGGACAAATTAGGTGATTTTAGAGGATACGCCGGTAAAATATCAAAAAAAGTGTGTTTCTAGAGCAAAACATATAGTTTTGATAGTACTTAAAATTGTCCCACATTCAAACGACAATTGCCACCCCCCCCCCCCCCCCCCCCCTTGGCCTGCACAGCGCAGTCAGTGGGGCCCTACGTTACGCCACTGGGCTCAACACTAACTAATTGATTAATCTCCAAGTTTTCTTTTAAATCATGAAATTATTCGATTAGTGAATTTGCATATGGAGGTGAACTGTCAATTTTAGTGGTAACTCATCAATTTCAGGATCATAAACAAAGTCATTCCAAACACCATCCCATTTGTTAACGTAGGGAGAAATCCGATTACCTGGCTTGTGAGTAAAGCTTCTAGACTGATATTAAGTGTGATTATACTGTGAATAGAATAAGTGAACAAGTTACCTTGCAAAGTTTCATTGAAGCTTTCTCCACAAATTCAGCTTCCAGTATCTGATTCCTGCAAAAATTAATCGCCAATCCTGCCTAATATGTGAAATTTGGGTCGCGGAAATCTGAAAATGTCCTACTGTTAGGACATATTCAAAATTTTTTATAGCATCAAAGTTTTCTCCGGATATACTGCTTCCAGTACCTTGATGGCGACTTGTGTCACTTTCACCGACCTCACTGATTAATCAGTGGTAAAAATTTCAGTCAAAACCTCGAAATTTCGGTCAAGGGGATGGCAGAAAAGCTCCTCTTCAAAAATCTTCCAAAATCTCTTTTTATATTCTGATGATTTTCCGTTTATCAAAGTTTTCTTTGGGAGTAGAACTTTAAGTACCTCAATGGTGTTTTGTGACCACCTCAGTGACCTTGTAAGATGGTCATTCAAGAAAAATTCAGTCAAAACAGTGAAATTTGGGTCGCGGAAAGCTGAGATTTGAAAATGTCCTACTGGTAGGACATATTCAAAATTTTCATAGCATCAAAATCTTCCAAAATCTCTTTCCGTTTATCAAAGCTTTTTTTGGAAATACCTCAATCGTGTCTTGTACCATCTACATTGATGATTGAACTCATTAATAGGTTTTTGAAGAAAAAATTCATTCGAAACAGTGAAGGAAATTTTCCTGTCATCCTTATAAAATGTTCATAATAGGATAATTTGTTCACTAATTTTGACTTTTAGTTAGTTACTCATAAGTCATAGTTGAGTTATAGTTGTTTTCTTTTTTAATCTGTTTTTAGCAGTTTCTTGTTTTTTTGCATTACGAGACTTGAAATGTTTGAAATTATTTACAGGAAAATGTACAGTTTTTCTTGGATGGGTGCCGAAGAGTTGGGTTAAAAGAAGACATGTTGTTTGAACCATATGATATAAAATACTTCGGGAATGAGTGAGTTTAATTGTGAGCCTTATTAGGCCCAAATTCTAAATCCGTATCTGGTAGGGAGGTATTAGTTTGACGCACGACAGTAGAAGCTGATTGGTAATCCTTTTATTAATTTAAAAATTAATTTATCAGATGAAATAAGGTACTAAATAAATTCAGCGACTTGGAGTTGGAGCGAAGGAACAATAAGATAGCAGTAACACTGTTCTGGCTATCCCGTATAGCTAAGGACCTCCCCATATTTTCTGTGATAGAGCACAATCAGACTATAGTGGAGAAGGTTGAGATAGACGGTGCTGAAAAGAAGATGGAGAGTTTGGAGACTGCTCACGTGATGACGAACGGAAATGGAGAGACGGTGTACTCTAGGAAATGCACTAATCATAATAAGGTAATACTCTAGGAAATGCACTAATCATAATAAGGTATTTTTCATCTTTGTTTGTTAATCCTGAGTTTTGAAAATTGTTGTTTTCTGTTATTATCGTTGCAAATTTGTTACATTCTCATTTTGTTATGTTCTCTTAAAATTTATACTGACCAATTGTTAAAATTTGGATCCTTGGACAAGTTCTCACACACGCTGTTCATCATTAACTCTGGAGCACAACATTGCACAGTTATTCTACTCCAATCAATGATTACATGCTTGTACACACTTGCACACTGCTAAAGCAGTAAGCATACTGCAGTACTTAGTGCAGTTTTCACATTCTACCGGCTACACGAGAGGCTTGTTGGCCATCACGTGACTTCCATTCAACACTGCAAAACAACTTGTATTTTGAGTGCATGATGCTATTTTGATGCAACTTAATAAGTTAATAATGATGTATCCGAAATATCTGGCACTCAATACTTTTTCTTAAAAACGGATTCGTTTTAATGATTTTTCGTGAATATCACGTGAGGATAACATGATCACCACGTGATCCTTACACGACATAACAAGCAATAAATCATTCACCGCACAATATCAGGCAGCAGCTCGCGGAGTTAGCGACGTGTGGGTTTTAAGTTATATTATAACAAGAGATAATCATCACCACTAGAGATGGGCTGTGTGATTATTCGATGTGAGCGTTCTGTTTTGCTGTGAATCTTGTCATGTTGGTGGTTTTAGTGTGAATCTTGGAGAAGACTGTGGTCATTATAGAGTTGTTAAGCATAGTGATCGTTCATGACTGAGTCACTCATTGTCAGTAAGGTAATAAAATATAATACAGATGTCAATGTTTTATTTGAACAACAAAGAGACAACTGTTCTCTGAGATTTTTGTTTTTTTAAACCACCACGGTTCAAATTCCAGTTCTAACATTCCACGGCCCTTCAACTTTTCTAAGAAATAGATTTCAACTTTTAAGTCTCACACGATTCACGAACTCTTATCTACCATGATTAACCAACTCTTATCTACCAGGAGCCTGATAAGGAGAGAAGGAAGAGCGTAGTATTTGAGTAAGTAAAACGTTCAGTGTAGCCCGCTGTCGTATCATAACGTTTTTAAATTCTTGTTTTATCTAAGTTATCACTTAATTGTGTCAAGTGTCTACGATGTTCATTCATATTCACAGTTAGGCCTAAACTGTTTAATCTTACTCAATCTCAGTCCACTCTAAAACAGTAAAACGGCGAGATTGGTAATTTTCCAAACTTTTGGATATTTTTAGTTTAATAATAACTGATAATTTTTCAGGGATGACTTGTGTGATATCGTGAGTATTATATAAATTAGTTTGTTGTATTATTATATACACTTACTTAACCACGACACGCATTGTTATATTAATTTCAAGTATTTTATCTTGCATTTTTAAATTCCTGGCAAGTGTTTTGTTTTGGTAGACAGGTATATTTGATACGTAATCAAGAAACAAAATAAAAGTTAAAACCACAGTCTCATTGCACCCAAAAACTCAAAAACAAATAATATTCACAACGCTTCACGCTTGTTAGTATCCAAAGTGGTGAAATCCCAGACATCACCTCTGATCACAACACCATCCTCCCTCACAGCATCGACCCTCCAGTAGTAAGTAACCTGCGTCTCCAGCTCCTCGCCCAGGTACACCACATTGCCTCCTTCATCTGCTGTTCCTACATAGGAATCTGATTCTATCCCACTTGCGTTGGAGACCATTTCCTTGTCGTAGCTGAAGTAAACGTGGTGTTTGGAGCAGCCCCAGGCGTTTAACCACATCAGGGCATCACGGTTAACCCTGTTAACAGTGGTGGAGTGGGTTGGAGGGACTGGAGATGAGGGCTTGTAGAGGATTCTCCCTGGTATCCAGTATTCGGTCATCTTCTCCTGGTATCGGTACGGTCCTATATCTCCCATCGAATCTGCGAACTTTCGGAGGACCCTGAAGTCACTGTTATCTGGGTCATGGAGCAGGTGCTTGAGGTCTGGTGTGACCTTGTTGTTCTTTACAATCTCTCCATGTAGCGGCCAAGTCTGTGGTGGTCGTAATGGTTTACCTGTTTCAAAGTTATACTTCCTACCTCCAGACGCAATATCAGCCAAGTTGTTGGTTGCCACAGAGTGAGCATTCATCTCACCAGGGTTCTCTCTGACATGCCTCCACAAACACAGAGAACAGCCAGGGAATTGCCGTACTGTTCCGTCCAGGGTGTCAAACGCTAAGTTGTGGTCCGCCTCGTGATAGTCGCCCTTAAGTTGCAAGCCACCAGCATCCAACCTGAATGCAACGTTATTCTTCACCGTACCGTGTGTTCCGATAGCAGGTGGTTGGCCGTCGAATCTAATGCCATATTTAGGGGAGTCGTGTACCCAGTTGTGGGTAACAGTGGAGTTTGTTTGGGCCTTTTGAGCGAGCTGTATTGCGGTTCCGTCCAACCTCTGCATTCCAAAGCAGGTACCACTGACGTCATTGTAGGCCACTACTCCGTTTTCTCTACCCGGTCGAAGTCCAACTCCGTCCCCGTTGTTTCTAAGGGTATTTCGGATCATGACATCGTTTATGCTCTGTGATCCTACGGTAGCATGCCCTCCATCGCCCACTAAACTGTTAGTTGAAGTCCAGTCGTTGTATTCGAACAGGTTGTTCTGCAAGGTGATGTGGGACCCACTGTAGGCCAGTGCTTTACCGTCTGCACCATGGAACGTGTTGTTGAAGAATGTATAGGTTCGTTTGTTGACCCACATCTTTCCATCCTCATTTCCTGTTCCATCTACCACCATGCACTCTGATAGGCTCACTTCTTGAAGCATACGCTTTGAGGCGCAGGGGAAATTGAAGTTAAGAGAATCAAATCTCAGCCAGTTGATACCGGTTCTAGCTGCTTTGTTGGCGGCTGCTTTTACTGTTGTGCCAAAGAAGTCAATATTCTTTACTTCAACATTGTAGCTGTCTGATATCTTCATCGCATAGCTCATAACTTTCCCACGGAGAGATGTAACCTCGGTAAAGGTTTCGCCGACTGGAGGGATAAAGTAGAGTACTTTGGTATCTTTGTTGAAGAACCACTCTTCAGGAGCGTCCAGAAGGTCAAGTTTGTCCTCCAAATAGTACTTAGAATGCTTCCACTTGGTAGCGTAGTTTCCAAATGTATCTGTATATGTGAACTCGTTGCTTCCCGGAGTGTGATGGTCTATTTTAGTCATGAAACTATTCCATGATCCAATATTGAGGATTCCTATTGCTCCGGTCATGTTTAAACCACTGTCTTTCAAGTCATCGTTTAAGCTAATGATCTTTCCTTTTTCAGAATTCTTCGATGTCTTTGCCCAATGGTTGGTTCCGTCGAATACAGTCTTATCTGACCATTTTGCGTTTGGCCACCTAGCGTTCGTCATCATCAGATCATCGTAGAAGAGCTGCCATATTGTCTCCTCGATCTCACCATAGTAGATATCCCCCATAATCTTCCAGTCACCATGTTTAGGCTTGATCTCCACAGTTCCATCAAGAAGTGGCCTCTCATCCCCGTATCCCTTAATAAGGGTGGGTTTCGTAGCCCATCCCCTAACCCCTTTAATCTCAACCTCCTCGTGGTACCTCCCTCCCCTGATCTGACACTCGTCTCCACCTCTTGCTTCGTTTACACACTCCTGGATCGTTCCAAAGGGGGCTGACCAGGATCCGTCACCATCTTCAGCTCCAGCCTTTGCGTAGAATATCGTACAAATTCCTGTCGTAAGGAGACCTCCGAGTAGAAGGTAGCTGAAAAGATTCATTGCAACTGTTGTGAAGATAAGTGCTATAGTGGTAGTCTTATAAAGGTGTTGCTGCACCCTTAGGATTTAGTGATCAGGCTCCACAATTAGTCTACACACTTGGGCTAGTCTAAGTGTTTTGTCTACTGTGCTTAGCAAAAAATGCCAAGTTTACGACAATGAGATTTACAGTAGTGGTGTAAATCTGGCCCATACTGAAAACTGTGTTATAATTCTTACTGGTGTGTGAATGGTGCAAGGATTTTTCTATATTCTTAGTTCTTAATATTACAGGGGCAGGTCCAAATTGCTAGCTTAACTCATTAATTTAATTAGTCTTAGTAGAGTGAGAACGAAATCCAGACTCAGGAGCACTTGTTATAGCTCTGTTAAAAATACTGAGAAAGTGTTAAACAAGACTCAGTATTTCGTCCTTCTCACCGTCACAATGGTATAGATCAAATTAACAAGATCCCGTGGTAATTCCGAATTATTGAATCTCCAGTTTACAAACTGGTGGTGCAAGTTAGTGCTCACGTGATGTACTGGAGCACTAAGTTTTTCTTTTAGTTTATCTTCTTTACTGAAAATATATAATAATAACAAATACACTTGAATAGTAAAGAGTGAGGACGAGTAATTAATGAAGGAAAGTCATTTTTACGGATTAAAGCCAAAAAAACAAGACATTTTAGAATGGGTAAAAGGCAACTAAAAATTAAGAAGAGGGGTGTGGAGGGTAAGCAATTGTAACAGTGTTACAGTGTGCCACTCACTACGAGGCATTGTTCATTTCAGTACATTAAATTGCATTTTTAATTTTAGTTCAAGGACTTTATGTTACATTATCACATTAATAATTGATTATTTTCAATTTCGAAGCGATATTTCCTACTGTTATTAGTTATTTCCTTTCAATTATCACTTCTAACTCACTATTACTTGGACACTAATCATTGAGTACCCAATCATCGAGATAAACAAATTGCTTGATAACTTTGTCATTTTAAATCCGTTTCGCACCATCTTTTCAGAGTATATTCCGGATTAAATGAACCATTGCAATATGTTACAACGGGGTCTCACAACATGTTCACAAACACCAGTATAAGCAATTCAATGTTGATTGGGTGTGACCCCCAAAAATCGAATTTTCAAATTTTGGTGACGGAATCCTCGAACAAGTAGGTACAGTATGCCCTCTGCAAAGCAACAACTCTCAAATATAAAACACGGCGGTTGTATAAGACCCAACGTATGGGTACTGACTTTTGCCCCCCCCCCCCCCCTGTATATTTTATATGTTAACCCATCGTGAGAGCACTCGGACCTGTCCTGTCTAATGTCTATTCCAGATAGCCGCTTTTACATCATTATCAAGTGGCTGTTATATATTGGCTTACTCAAACTGAGCATGTAGTCCCAAAAAAGACAACCAAAACTCTTGCTTGTGCTAAGGTATATGTTATTGCATTGCTCATTTTTTCTATTTCTGGATAAATTTGATATCAAAACAGAGAGAGAGAGAAAAGCTGCCAAGGGCGTCAATAAAGAGGCAATAAATGTCAGTTCATTGATTTCGATGCGATGCTTTTATATCAATATCATCTTATAAAATCTATGTATTAAGGGGCCATCTACTTAGGACGTCCGCCAAGGCCCAAGATCGCAGACTTTCAGACCACTCCCCCTCCCCCCCCCCCCACTTTCAGACCACCCCCTCCCCCTGTCCGAATTTTCAAAACCACAACCCCTCCCTATTTGCCGGACGTCCTAAGTAGATGGCCCCTTATCACTCGGCCTTCATTATTAATTATAAGTATTACAGTATTCCCAAATCACTGTGTGCGATGTATATTATTATTATCGTAGTCATACACAATATTATTTATGAATAATAAACGAGTTAACTTATTTGCAGGCGCTGCAATGGTTGACAGTAAAATGCAGTTTTACTAGAGATATTTTTCGTAACCTGATCGTTTCCTTGTATCTGATAAGAAAACATGCTTCGTTGTATGCTAGTAACTTAGTTAGTTTGTTTCATCATATTGTTATGTTTGCAAAATGAGTAGTTGATAATGAGGGAAAGTCACTTACGGATTACGGACTACTGATTAAGGATTTAAGCCAAACTGAAAGTGTGGTCCAAAAAAGGCTCCCTTTACTCGTTTTAATGCGTAATTTGGATCATCGCTCTTTTCTCATCATGTGGGCAGTGGGTCGACTGAAAACCAAAACACTTAGGAAGGAGTAAAAGGCTGCCAGGGGCGTTAATTTTATTTCAACGATTTTATGCTTCATTATGACATTGATTATTTCAATTTCGAAGCGATATTCCTTACTCTTACTTTCTCTCACTTCTTATCAATTTTAACCTTAGTCTAGTTGTAGTGCACGTACGGAACGTTCACTGAAGAAAAAAATTGATGTACATGCGTTCACTAAAACTCATCTCACGTTCTGAACAGCTGAACGTTATTGATAAATTACTAGTAGGTTGACACGGATGATGACTCAAACTGCGTAGGACTCCAC